GTGAGATGAGTTAAGTGTTGCTAAACGAAAGGACAGAGGGCTATAAACACTCGTAGAGGGGGCTTCGCCACTCCTTTGGCTGTCACTTTATGATGAGGTTACTATAATAGCTTCCTGTCTGATCTTTATCCTGAGTAGCAATCTACTTATTCAACAGACCCCTTTTAAATGGCTGCTGGGTACTGTGTTCTGTGCTGATTCCTACAGAGACTAAGATAAGCTCTGGAAACTTCACTAACAGGGAAAAGAGACATGTAAATAATATAATGTAAAAAGGGCTTTAACAGAGGGATGAGCAAAATATTATGAGAACACGGATATTTTCCAAAGCAGTGGAAAATGAGGTTTAGATAAGTAGAACAGACACCAGGTGATGGTTCTTTGATAGACAAAGCAGGGGGATTTGGATTCGATGTGACCACATAGCAGTGAGCCCTCTGGGTTCTTACATGGGGAGAGAGACATGAGGAAAGATGGCAGAAGAATGAATTTTTATGCCAGAAAAGGCCAAGGTGGAGGTTTCAGGGGTAATCCATGTACAACACGAGAGCAAAAAAGAATGGAGAAGAAGGAATACATTCAAGAAGTATCCAAGAAACTGAACAGGACGGGATACCGGCTTGTGTAAAGAATTCTAATGATCAGAGGTGACTCAGTATCTCTAACCTGGTGACCTGAAAGAACTGTGGCATCTATAACAGAAGTGGGGATGTTGTGGGAAGACCCGTTTTGAATAGTGAGCCTACTTTGGACACGTTGGGTTTGGGGCACTGGGAGGCTTTTGGGCATCCAGGTAGCGAGGGATGGGAATGACTAGAAATAAAGGGCAGGATCTGAAAAACAAAAGTGATTATGGAAGATATGAAATGATATGAACTCAGGAGAGAGAAAGAGAAGAACAAAGAGCTAAAAGCAGGACCCAAGGCTTGGGCACACCAATTCTAGGAAGTAGTCAAAGTTACCAGGAGGAGGCGAGGGGAGGGAAGGAAGAAGGGAACGGACGAAGGAGAGAGGGAGGTTTTTTTTAAAGCTCTTAAAAAGATGGAAGGTAAGGTG